CAATAGTCATTTGGTGTGTGCGCTGTTTGCGTCCATCTGTATCGATCGATTCTCGTCCTTGCCATTTATCCTTGAGGTTTTTGTACACGGCGTGCAACTCAATGTACCGATTGATGCATGGCCTCGAGAAACTCGGCCTTTTTGGATAGACAGACTCCGATGATGCGAGTGTTGTCCCGAGCGAGGGTGTGACCTGTATTACGCGTGTGCACGGCTACTTGGAAAGATAGTCACGATTGTTAGTCGCTAGCTGATGCTCATAGATGCGTGTGGCAGTGAATTTTACCGTTTGGCCATAGTAAACAGCATCACAATCTTCGCATGGGATCTTGTAGACAACTTTCTTCTTTTCAAGATATCCAACTCGATCCTTTGGGTGTACGAACTGAGTGCGTAAGGTAGCTGTCATCAGCCAGCGATACCCAGAAGTGACCATTACAGTGTCCCTTGTCTTTGTCCTTAATGCCTTTTTGACTATATCGATGGGCAATCTGCAGCCATTGGTTGAGTTCCAAGGCACGACGGGAAGCGGGGTTTTCTCCCATGCAAATTTGTGTCCAGTGTGTGCATGGCAACCTAAGATAGATGGTCTCGTCCCCTCACCGCTGACTGGTGTTCACGTATCCGGATGGTTAGTGATTTCCCGTTCATTCCTCCAGACTTAGCAAGGACCTGTACTTCGGAACTCCTACAGACCTACGTTACCGACGTATCTGCGGATATCCTGCTTGAAGTCGGCGATCTTTGTGTAGAAACAAACTTTCAGTTTGCTATTGACAAGTAAGCGGTGCTCCTATGGAGTCCCCAATATGCGGCTTTTTGGCGACAGGTGATGCATAAATAAGAGGCTAGAACCTCCCCGCAGTTAATCCACGATTGTGGCTGCGCTATGTAGACGATGCATTTGTCGTCGTCAAAAGAGACCAAGTGGAATTGCTCCATCAAACCACCAACTCCACCCTTCCAGCAATTCGATTTACCTTTGAAACGGAGGCAGACGAACAACTCCCATTCTTAGATATCCTCGTACGCAGGAATACCGATGGACACTCCATACGTTAGTCTATCGCAAGGACATTTACTCCGAGGTCATCTTATATCTTGGGAGTAACTATCCATGTCTCACAAACGCAGCTCTATTAACAGCTTGCTGAGTCGGGCGAAAACGCACTATTCGGACCAAGAAACATATCGAACAGAAATAAAATACATCTTCAAGCTATTTTCCCTAAATTGTTAACTTCCTTCTTAGACGACAACAGTTCAAAGAAAACGCTATTTCCAGAGCTACAATCAATAAAGCGCCAAAAAACGATCTGAAGAACCAAGATCCCGCGAATGTATCTAAGCTCGTCA